CAACCAAACCAGGCTGGACCATCAAAGCATATCACCACATTATCACAGACCCTGGGGCAAAGGTCACTTTAAGGCCCTATTGGGTTCCAGCAGCAAAAAGGGAAGAGATCAAAGCAGAGGTAAAAAGGATGTTGGAGCTGGGAGTCATTGAAGAGTCCCACAGTCAGTGGTCAAGCCTGATTGTGTTGATTCCCAAACCCAATGGCACCACTAGGTTTTGTAATGACTTTCGCTGGCTGAATGAGATATCCAAATTGTGCCTAGTTGTGAAATGGGCCATGGAAACACTTATTTACGGTAACGTTATTACCTTCTGGGATGACGGTTTATCCTTGTGACCGACCATGCACCCCTCCAGTGGATGCAGCGAAATAAAGAGAAGAATGTAAGGGTGACCAGATAGTTCCTGATCCTACAACCTTTCCAATTCACCATACAACACCAGGCTGGAAGCCACCGTGGCAATGCAGATGGCTTGTCTTGAGTACACTGCCTGATGTCCCAAGTTGCCCAACCCCATAGTGTTGGGGGGGGGGGGAAGGAGGAATATGTGACAGGGTCGGGCTACAGGAGAGTAATAGAAGGCAGATATATTAGCCCCAGGCTAAGTAGGTCCCTTTTCCCTGGGTAAGGTAACAGGGAAGGTTCCAGAACAATCAGGAACCTTCTGGAGACAATTAAGACACACATGCTGATTAGAATACCTGCAGCCAATCAAGAAGCTACTTGAATCAATTAAGGCAGGCTAATCAGGGCACCTGGGTTTTAAAAAGGAGCTCATTTCAGTTTGTGGTGTGTGTGTGAGGAGCTGGGAGCAAGAGGCACTAGGAGCTGAGAGTAAGAACGCAGACTGTTAGAGGACTGAGATGTACAAGCATTATCAGACACCAGGAGGAAGGTCCTATGGTGAGGATGAAGGTGTTGGGAGGAGGCTGTGGGGAAGTAGCCCAGGGAGTTAGTTGTAGCTGTCGCACAGCTGTTCCAAGAGGCACTCTAGACAGCTGCATTCCACAGGGTCCTGGGCTGGAACCCAGAGTAGAGGGTGGGGCCGGGTTCCCCCCAAATCCTCCCAACTCCTGGTCAGACACAGGAGTCGTCGACCTGGACTGTGGGTTCAAGAAAAACAGTCAAGCTGAGGGCTACCATCCTATGGGGATGTAGGATAACAAAGTAACACAGCTACACTAAACTTTAGAAAGGGAGACTGCACTAAAATGAGGAAACTAGACAAAAGGTCCTAAAGTCAAAAGCAAAGGAAGTGAAATTCTTAGATATGGCATGGATGCTACTTAAAACAATATAAGGCCTGAAATAAACCAGTGTGGCTCAATGACAAGGTTGAAAACTTAGAGAGACAAAGTGGGTGAGGTAAAATCTTTTATTGAACCACCTTCCCTCACCCACCTTGTGTCTCTAATATCCTGGGACCAACACCGCTACAACAAGGTTCAAAACTTGGAAATCTAACCCTAATGAAGCCAATAAACAGGAACATAAATTACAGTAGGCAGAATGTTGAACTACTCAGATACCTTCAGCATTCTAAATGAACAGTATCAACTCAAAAAAAATTGGACTGGACACCATTCTGGGGTAGTTAATGAAGAGCTTGGCTAACTGCAGCTGTGCTCTAAAAAGCAAACTGTTACAATGCATAAGGAATAGGCTGGAGATTAATTCAGAAAATATGTTATAAGTCAATGGTTTGTCTCTTCTGGAATACTGTGAGTGGTACTAATCATCCCAACACAAAAAGGATACTGTAGAATTAGATGGTTTTGAAAGAAGGGTAATTAATTATATCAAGGGCCTGGAAAAACACACGTGAGGCAGATTTAAAAGATGGGGATCACTTATCTTAGAATGGAGATAAATAAGGGGGAGCGGGAGTGTATTTTAATAAAAAATAGTCAAGAGTAGAGTGGGAGCTTCTGTTGTTTCATAACAGCAGCTATTCAGTAAAAGTGAAGGGTGACAAATTCAGAACTAGCTGTGGAATTCAAGAATTAGCAAGAGTCAAAGAGGGATTGAACACTGATAACTTTTGGATATTCTTGTTATGGTTAATATTGCCAAATTTTGGAAGGGATATAAAACCACCTGCTTCAGGTTTTAAGCCAATTGCTAACTATTAGGACTAAGTGGGAGTGATGGGGGCGACAAAGGCCTGTAACAGGTTGCTGACAGATCTAGATCAATTGGTAAACTAGGTGCAAACAAACTATGTGTTTGAGGATGGCTAAATATAAGCATCTAGCAACCAAGAATGTACACTATACTTTCAGGATGGAGGACTCAATCTTAGAAAGCAGTGACTGAAAAAGATTTGGGCCTTGTAGTGGATAGTCAGCTGAACATGAGCTCACATTGTGATGCTGTGAGTAACAGGGCCATTACAGTCCTTGATTGCATAAAGAGGGGGAGTTGCTCTCAGGTGGGAGTAGCAATGTTATTTTACCTCTGTGTTTGGCACTAGTGGAACCACTGATGAACTATTGCATCCAGTTTTGCTGTCCACAGTTCAACAAGGATGTTGATGAATTGGAGAGGATTCAGAGATGGGCCATGAGAACAATTAAAAGATTACAAAATGTGACTTATAATGATAGACTCTAGGTGCTCAATCTATTTGGTTATGAAAGAGAAGGTTAAGGGGTGACTTGATTAGTTTGTAAGTATCTACAAATATTTGATAATGGACTCTTCAATCTTAGCAGAGAAAAGTATAACATGATCTAATGACTAGAAGTAAAAGCTAGGCAAATTCAAACCAGATATGAGGAGCAAACAGTGGATAGTGAGGATAATTTGAAACACTGTACCAACAATGGTTGGGGTGGAGCCTCCATAACTGACCATTTAAAAATGAAGATTGGATGTTTTTGAAGAAGAAATGCTCTAGGAATTCTTGTGGGGAAGTTGGATGGGGCTGTGTTATACAGGGCATCAATGATCACAGTGGTCCCTTCTTGCCTTTGAATCTATGATTTTTTAATAAAGCTTTCAAGGCCAGTACATTGGAATGCTAACACAATTGAAGAACTTGATGATGTGGTGTTGACAGGGTTCCTTTTCTCTGTTTGTTTCAGCCAGAACAGAAGAAGGGAGAAAGGAACTGCTGTTTCTCAGCAACTCCAACCCCTGGCAGCTGGAACGGATCTCTGCTTATCTCTAACACTAAGGCATCTTTGCTGGCAGCCACTGCGGGCTTTTAATAAGATAACCAGCTCTTCTTCCTGCTCTATCATATGTCCCCTTGGCTGCTTCGCTACGCAGAAAGAACTGAGCTGTCTTTCCCAGCCCTGACAGGGAAAGACTTTGTGGAAAAGCTGCACCAGCTGAGGAGAGGCTGCAGGGATAGAGGGGGAAAGAACAGGGCTGGGGCAGGGCTTCTGCAACTGACCCTGTCAGGGTTTCTCTAGGAGAAGCTGTGATGAGGCTGCACCAACCATAAATGGAGAGCGGTGTAGGTCTGTGCTGTCTGATGTTGAATGAGCAGGGGCCTTGCGGGCAGTCTCCAGCTGTTCGCTCTCCTGGCTACATGTTCTGTGGTACTGGCGGGTTGCAGCAGCCCTGGAGGGAGGAGATGTCTCAGGCCAGGCGGGGCGGGCGGGGGTGTCACGGGGCTGGCGCTATAGGCGGCCTGGAGGGAGCAGATGTCTCAGGCTAGGCAGGGCGGGTGGGGGTGTCATGGGGCTGGCGCTATAGGCGGCCTGGAGGGAGGGAATGTCTCAGGCCAGGTGGGGGCGGGCGGGGGTGTCACGGGGCTGGCACTATAGGCGGCCTGCAGGGAGGAAACGTTTCAGGCCGGGCCGGGGTGTCACGGGGCTGGCGCAATAGGCGGCCTGGAGGGAGGAGATGTCTCAGGCCAGGCGGGGTGGGCGGGGGTGTTACGGGGCTGGCGCTATAGGCGGCCTGGAGGGAGGAGATGTCTCAGGCTCGGCGGGGCGGGCCGGGGTGTCACGGGGCTGGCGCTATAGGCGGCCTGGAGGGAGGGAATGTCTCAGGCCAGGCGGGCGGGCGGGGGTGTCACGGGGCTGGCGCTATAGGCGGCCTGGAGGGAGGAGATGTCTCAGGCTCGGCGGGGCGGGCCGGGGTGTCACGGGGCTGGCGCTATAGGCGGCCTGGAGGGAGGGAATGTCTCAGGCCAGGCGGGCGGGCGGGGATGTCACGGGGCTGGCGCTATAGGCGGCCTGGAGGGAGGGAATGTCTCAGGCCAGGCGGGGGTGTCACGGGGCTGGCGCTATAGGCGGCCTGGAGGGAGGAGATGTCTCAGGCCAGGCGGGGCGGGCCGGGGTGTCACGGGGCTGACGCTATAGGCGGCCTGGAGGGAGGGAATGTCTCAGGCCAGGCGGGGCGGGCCGGGGTGTCACGGGGCTGGCGCTATAGGCGGCCTGGAGGGAGGGGATGTCTCAGGCGGGGCGGGCCGGGGTGTCACGGGGCTGGCGCTATAGGCGGCCTGGAGGGAGGGAATGTCTCAGGCGGGGCGGGCGGGGGGTGTCACGGGGCTGGCGCTATAGGCGGCCTGGAGGGAGGGAATGTCTCAGGCGGGGCGGGGCGGGCCGGGGTGTCACGGGGCTGGCGCTATAGGCGGCCTGGAGGGAGGGAATGTCTCAGGCGGGGCGGGGGTGTCACGGGGCTGGCGCTATAGGCAGCCTGGAGGGAGGGAATGTCTCAGGCGGGGCGGGGTGGGCCGGGGTGTCACGGGGCTGGCGCTATAGGCGGCCTGGAGGGAGGGGATGTCTCAGGCTCAGCGGGGCGGGCCGGGGTTTCACGGGGCTGGCGCTATAGGCGGCCTGGAGGGAGGGAATGTCTCAGGCCAGGCGGGGCGGGCCGGGGTGTCACGGGGCTGGCGCTATAGGCGGCCTGGAGGGAGGAGATGGCTCAGCGGGGCGGGCCGGGGTGTCACGGGGCTGGCGCTATAGGCGGCCTGGAGGGAGGGAATGTCTCAGGCGGGGCGGGCCGGGGTGTCACGGGGCTGGCGCTATAGGCGGCCTGAGGAGAGGGGGCCGTGGGCTCGCGGGCCAAGTGGGGCCCCTGCTCGCGCAGGCGAAAACGAGGTCTCGCGAGCTCCCAGCCCGTCGGGCGGTGGAGTCTACGGCCGGGGCAGCCCAATCGCAACCGGCGCGAAGATTGACAGCCGGCGAAGTCGCACGTGACTGTGTTGCTAGGTTACATGACCCGGTCGCTGCTGCGCCGCTTCCAATCAGGAGATGGCCCGCCTACATTTTGCGGCATTAGTTGTGGATTGGTGAAACTCTCTCAAATGACAAGTACTTCAGCCAATGGGACCAAGTCAGTAGTCAAAGCCCCGCCTCCAGGCCGTCCCGGGGCTGGCGGTTGAAGTATGTTCGAGGCGGGCAGGACCCCGCGGCCGGCGGTGACGCTGCAGCTGGGCAGTTACGCGGGGTTCGTGGGCGCGCACTGGTGGAACCTGCAGGTGTGGAGCCTCCTGGTCCTGTCTCGAGTCGCCCCTACGCCCCGGCCCGGGCCTGTCTCGGCCCCCCCCCACGCCCCGGCCCCGGCCCGGGCCTGTCTCGGCCCCCCCCCACGCCCCGGCCCCGGCCCCGGCCCCGGCCCGGGCCTGTCTCGGCCCCCCCCCACGCCCCGGCCCCGGCCCCCCCCCCACGGCCCGACCCCCGCCCCCGCCCCGGCCTGCCTCGGACCCCCCGAGCCGCCTTCCCCGGCGCGGGCCCGGCCCCCGCCCCGGCCTGCCTCGGACCCCCCGAGCCGCCTTCCCCGGCGCGGGCCCGGCCCCCGCCCCGGCCTGCCTCGGACCCCCCGAGCCGCCTTCCCCGGCGCGGGCCCGGCCCCCGCCCCGGCCTGCCTCGGACCCCCCGAGCCGCCTTCCCCGGCGCGGGCCCGGCCCCCGCCCCGGCCTGCCTCGGACCCCCCGAGCCGCCTTCCCCGGCGCGGGCCCGGCCCCCGCCCCGGCCTGCCTCGGACCCCCCGAGCCGCCTTACCCGGCGCGGGCCCGGCCCGCCTTGTCGGCATCCCGCTCCCCCACCGCGCCCGCCGGCCGAATCCCCGCCCAAACGCGCTCCCCGGCCTCGCGTTGCCTGCCCGGGCCATCTGATCTCGACGCCTGCTCGCCTGGCCCCTCCGGCCGGCGGGAGGCCGCTGTGCGGGGCGTGCCGGGGACTGGCAACTCCCTGGGGCCGGGGCGCGGCCTCCTGCTCGCACCGACCGTCTCTCTCCGCCGCAGGATGCTGCGTGGTGCCGTGACTCGGAGGCGGCGGGGCGCGAGATCTGCCCCGATGTGCTGTACCGCGCTGGGCGGACCCTCGGCCGGCCGGAGACCTACGCGCCGCGCCTCGTCCTGATGGACTTGAAAGGTGGGCGGGGGGCTGTTCGCTGGCGGCGTGCGTGCGGCCCTCCTGCCAAGGGTCCGGGGAGCTGCCGGGCGAGGACTGAGCTGCGCTGCGCTGAGCTGCGCCCAGTGGGGCGGGCATCCCACCAGCTCGTGCGTGGCTGACTCTGCCCCGGCCCTGCTGTGGCGCTAGAAGCGGCGCTTCACCCCCTGCCTGTGCAGGCTCGTGATGCCTAGTCGGGCAAACCTCTTGGGGGCGGGGTTCATCTGGGCTGGAGAATACGGTGGGCTTTCTTACTGTCTTTAGCCCCAAGTACTGCAAACCCTGTGACCTGTTCTCTTGTGCAGGAAGCCTCAACTCTCTGAAAGAAGAGGGATGTTTATATGGGGACATGAAAAGAGACACCTCGGTAGCTTGGTGAGTGTTACTATTTGTTCTTTCATCCTCTTAGCTGGAGAGGTTACTCTGCTGCAACAGTGTGGGGTGGGGTGCAGGAGAGGTTTGGGTTGTGGGCTCTGGCCCAGCGACGTTTACCTGGAGCTGCTCCGAGGTGGCAGCGGCGCACAGCAGGGTCAGGGCAGGCTCCCTGCCTGCCCTGGCCCTGTGCCTTTCGGGGAGGCAGCTGGCACCATGTCCCTGCCACCCCGGGGGGGAGGGTGCAGAGGGCTCTGCATGCCTGTGGGTACGGCCCCTGAAGCTCCCATTGGCCGCGGTTCCCCGTTCCTCACCAATGGGAGCTTCAGGGGAGGTACCCACAGGCAAGAGCAGCACATGGAGCCCTCTGCTCCCTGTCCCCCAGGGGCTACTGGGACATGGCGCTGGCTGCTTCCTGGAGCAGAGTGGGGGTGGAAAATCCATGGCCCAGATCCAAAGCCCTGACGGGCCGTAGTTTGCTCACCCCTGTACTAGACTGTAAGCTCTTCGGGGGGACGACTGTCTTGCTACATGCCCAGTGCGATCTTGCTCTCTGAGGCTCCTTGTGCTCCTGTAGTACAAATAATGAGGGGATTTATTTTTCAGGCCGGGTAGTCTGTCGACTCATCAAGAAGATCCTCCTGCAAAGAATCTTTTTCTACAAGACCTCAGCAAACTGGAGGTGAGAAGCCAGAACTCAAGGTGTAGATACTGAATGGGTTTGATTTGTATCCTAGAACCAGAGATGCTAAATTAACAGAGTTTTGGTCTTGACAACAAGCTTTGTTAGATATAGTTGCTTTTCTTGTTTGTAGGTTTTGGTGTCTAGACCAGAGGTGGGCAAACGACGGCCCACGTGGCCCAGCCCTCGGCTCCTCCCTGCTGTTCCCCCTCCCCCACAGCCTCAATGCACCGCGCCACACTCTGGGCAACCGGGCAGCCCAGTTGCAGAGCCGCAGCTGGTTGCCCAGTTGCAGAGCGCCGCCAGCCACTGGTGCTCCAGGCCGTGTGGTAAGGGGGCGGGGGGAGTGGATAGAGGGCAGGGGAGTTTAGGGGTGTGGTCAGGGGTGTCGATAGGGGTTGGGGAACAGGGGGGTTGGATGGGGCAGGAGTCTGGGGGGGGCAGTCAGAATGAGAGGAGGGGTTGGATGGGGCGGCAGGGGGTAGTCAGGGGAAAGGGAGCAGGGGGTGGTGGATGGGGCAGGAGTCAGGAGGAGGGGCCATCAGGGAGCAGGGGGGTTGGATGGGGCAGGAGTCCTGGGGGAGCTGTCAGAGGGCGAGAAGCGGGGGGGTCAGATAGGAGGTGGGGGGCCAGGCCACACCTGGCTGTTTGGGGAGACACAGCCTCCCCTAACCAGCCCTCTGTACAATTTTGGAAACCCAGTGTGGCCCTCAGACCAAAAAGTTGGCCTGCCTCTGGTCTAGACCTTTCTACTTCCTCTACACCATGTACACACTTGCCCAGATCCTGTTGATCTTCCTGCTTGCTTTTTTGTAAAAGAACATGTGGTTGGAATTATTTCCCCCTTAAACCTTCCTAAGGCCTTTCTGAACATAATACCAGCAGAGCAGCTGACTTCTCCATGTCTCCAGTGACAATGCTCAAGGGCAGAGAGACTGAGAAGCTGCAGTAAAGGCAAGACTATCAGAGGGAGGCCAGTACACACAAATGTAGATTCTGGATTTATTATTGGTGATGGGTATAGGAGGGAAAGCTGTTCTTGCACAAACTGTGAGAAAAGTATAACTGTAAGTGGACCAAAGGCAGCCATTAGCATTGCACCAACAGTGGTTTTTTTTTTTAAGAGGGTTCAAGAGTTGTGAAAGGGTCTTCTCTCTAATGTTCAGCTGTCTGTGCAAATCAAAGGTCTTCTGTTTTGATGTGAAAGAAATGGATGAAATGTTGTCCAAATAACACATCTCTGTAGCTTGTGTTTTACAAATTCAGGCTGAAGATCTACCATTAGTGTCCTTGATTAAGATTGCACTCCTCCCCTAGTGCCTTGCAGCATGCATCACAGTACTGCTGTTTGTGTGAACCACTTTGGGGTCGTTCAGGATAAAATCATTAGAGAAATAAATAAGACTTTATGAATGTACAGTGTACCATAGAAGCACAGATGTAGAACAATGTTCCCAGCCCCTTCCCACTATATTGCCCTGTTATCCATTTACAAGTGAGGCAATGCCATAATAAAACCTGTCTCCGGAGCTTTTTGTTGCAGGGAGGCATATCCTCTGATGGAGACTTTGGTCCCAGAGCTCTTCCTCTCAGTAAAGGTATGTAAGTCTTCGGTGCCTATATGTCTGTTTAGGTGAAAGATCACAGGAATGGAGAATTGTAAAGCGAGTGAAATGGGGAAGGGACTTCATTGCAGTCAATCATGAGCTTAGAGAACATAAGTATGTCCATTCTAGGTCAGACCAAAGGTCCATCTAGCCCAGTATCTTGTCTTCTGACAGTAGCCAATGCCAGGTGCTTAAGAGGGAATGAACAGAACAGGTAATCATCAAGTGAGCCATCCCTTGTTGCCCACTCCCTGCTTCTGGCAAAACTAAGGCTAACCACCATTGATGGACTTATCCTCCATGAATTTATCTAGGTTTTTTTTTAACCCAGTTATAGTCTTGGCCTTCACAACAGCCTCTAGCAAAGAGTTCCATGGTTGACAGTGCGTTGTGAGTAGTAGTACTTCCTTTTGTTTGATTTTAAACCTGTTGCCTTTTAATTTCATTTGGTGACCCCCTAGTTCTTGTGTTATGAGGAGTAAATAACACTTTTTACTTTCTCCACACCTGTCATGATTTTATAGACCTCTATCATATCCCCCATTAATAGTCTCTCTTTCAAGCTGAGAAGTCCCAGTCTTATTAATCTCTCCTCCTATTTTAAGTCCAAATTCATCATACTCCCTCCTGTGGCTGCTTTCCTCCATTGATTGGTTTTGTATGCTGGTATTCAGCTCTAAAGCACTCTATTTAGCACAAAGTATAATTTTACACACAGGTAATAGTTTTATAATAATGCTATTCCTGTTGCTATGAATCTGTGACAGAGGCAGGGGTTTGGGATAATGCCATGGTGTGAAGGGCACAGGAAATAAGTGTGGGACTAGGTTACCAAGAGAATTGTGTGTAAAGTACTAGGGCCTTGGCTTAAAATCAAAAACACTTTAGCAGAGAGCCTTGTGATCCCATTGTCTGGGTTATTAGAAGCTAAGTGTTGGAAGGTGAACCTTTATCTGTAAATGTTCTTTTTGCAGATGTATCTCAGCTCCCTAAACAGCTGCTTGTTTCCCAGAAGGGTCACCAGTTGGAAGGCAGCGTGCAGGTTTGGTCTGATTACCTCCGCGTGCATCTGCATCCCAGAAGCATCTTCATGATACATCAGTACAACTATGATGGGTATGTTTATTTTACTTCAAATGCAAACTGAGGCAAAGTGGTAGCTTCACAAAGGGGCATGGCTGCTGACTGCAATTTAGGGATCAGCCTAACTGGATACTTGCTAAAAGACACAAAAAGAGGGAGTGGAGTTAAATGCTCACCTTGTCCTTCTTTTAGGGAGTCCAGTCAACTTGAAGCCTTTGGACAAGGTGAAAGCCTCCTGCACAACTCCACTTACCTAGAGGAGCTGGAAGATAGATTGCACTTCTACGTGGAAGAGTGTGATTATCTGCAGGTACATGGGGCTACATTTACCTGACCTGTTTAGGGAACTCTGCCAATTGAACTTTTGGTAGAAATTCAAACACTATTTGTCCCTTTTGGTGTAGGGTTTTCAGATTCTGTGCGACTTGAACAATGGATTTTCTGGAGTTGGAGCTAAGGTGACAGAACTGCTCCATGATGAGTATTCAGGGAGAGGAATCCTGACATGGGGACTGACTCCAGTCATTCATAATGTTGGGGTAAGTATGCAGTGGAAAAAGAGTGTGCCTGATCTCCTGAAATTAGTGCACACGTTCTGACTCAGGCTGCTTCCTATAAAACAGATATTGAGAAGGAAGAAGATAGAGCAAAAGAGTGTCTTCGTGCAGTGAGTACTGCAACAGTAGCTGCCCTTCTTTGTGCCTCACGTAGCACTTTTACTTCCAAAGGAGCCTAAGGCCAGGGCAGATTAATTTGGGGGCATCATGTTTAATTGCTAAATTGTTTAAGTGCCAAGCAGAGCTGTGTGGATTTTTTGACATCTTTTGTCCGCAGGTGTCCTGGAAGGATTTTTACAGGCTGATGAACACAGTCCTGGGAATTGTCCATCTCTCCACTCACAGCTCACTCTTTTGCCCACTGTCACTCAATGGAAGTCTGGGACTCAAACCAGAAGCCCCTGTTACACTCCCATATGTACATTATGATGTGAGTATACACGGTCACTGACTGGGCACGCAGACTGGAAGCTTTTGGGAACGTTTTCTGTCTGGAAAGGCCTGACCACACTAGTGTATAGAGTCAGAACTTTGTGCCAGAAGGGCTAAATCCTCCCATGCTAAAAAATAAAGCTCATGTTCTATATAGGGGGAAGTTCTAAATAATAGTTTGTCTCTCCAGACCTGCCTAATCCTATCCCTAATTTTGAAGTTGATTATGTAACTCCATCTCTGTATATTTCCTCAATTTTAAACCTACAACCCCTTAGTTCTGGTCTGTCCAGTGACCTTGGCGATCTATTTAATAACCCTTTGATTACTCACAGGCCTGAAGTATTTACCAGGTGTTTTCTGCTCACACATGAGCCTACATTCCAATTACCTTTGATGCCATTTACTGCACTCTCCATTTTAACTCTGGGTTATGGCCCTTTACATTAGTTGTAATAATTGCAGGTTCCTGAATTGTCTCACACACTTACCTTGTGTTGTAGGTAGAGCCCGCCTGGATACAAAATTTGTATACACAGCTGATCAAGTATGGTCTGTGGATATAAAGCAGATATCCACAGATTTGCAGGGCTCTAGTTACAGGACTAAGATGGATTCATTCACATGATTGAATTCAGTTTGCAGTCTCAACTCTTGTTTAACTGGTTCAGTCCAAGGCTGGAGGTAATGCATATGGGTGACTGTACAGGAAATCTAAATTGGTGCAGCATTGTAATTGCAGGCAGACACTGGCTCATTCCCTTCTGATTTAATCAGCTTTTTACAATGCTAGTTGAAGTGCAGAAAGCTCAAAACTTTGTAGATTTCAGGACTGGGTCTCAGTGACCTGAGCCCCTCAACTGGGAATGCACAGCAGAACATATGGGATGACCATAACACTATTCTGTCATTTGAAAAATTACTAATGAGATAATCAACAATAGCAGTTTTTTTATTAAGATTTCTACTGCATGAATGTCAAGTCACTCGGGCTTTAAACTGTAACAGTTTGTATCCTTAGGGCTGTTCTGCTCTGCCTTGGTCATTCCAAAGAGAAACTGCTTTTAGTTGGTTTAGTTAAGGAATGGAAGTGTCTGAAATTCAATCTTAAATGACCTTTTCCTCCTCTAACTTTGCTGTGGTTCAATTGTTCTTCTGTAGGCCTCTCTAAACTATCACAGCAGTGCAATCTTGGCAACAGCATTGGATACCCTCAGTGCTCCATACAGGCTCCATTCTTCCCAGTTCTCCATGGTACAGCTTGCAGATGCATTTAACAGCTCTGGGAGAAAGGTAGCGTTCTTCTAAAGGAAATCATTAGTGGCCACAGTGAAGCTGGAGGGGCTGAATAGTGTAAGGTAGATGTAATATGCTGAATGTGTTACTGTAGCTATTCTGTTTCATGCATGTCTTCTGTTGAGCATTGTTCCCACAACTCTCACTGGCAGAATCTTTCCTCTTGCCTATAAATTGAGCCTCTGTGTATGTAGATGTTATATAACATGCTGCATTGTCTGCTGGTAGTTTTGGATACAGATCTCTTGCAGGAGTCCCCATGATCTCCAGAAAAAGCTGAGATCAGATTATTACAGACATTTCTATTGGCCTGTTCTCTCTCAGGTTGTGGCTGCAGGGGCTGCTGTACCCTTTCCTATGGCATATGGTCAGTCTCTCCCAGATGCTTTGTGCAGCTACCAGCTTGCAGTGCCATGGACACCATTGTCTTCGTGTGGGGAGCAAAAGGACAGCTGCTGTTTTGCTCAGTCTGTTGTGCTGAGAGGAATTGGCAAAGAAAATCTTATCAGGTAAGAAACAGCTAGATCAAATACCTGTCTTTCAGAGCTGGCCCCTATCCATGGTGATCTCTGACAATAGGGGCTTCTTAAGGGAGGGACTCTGGCCTTTAAATTCTTACTGGTCCAAAAGAGCTGAAGCAAGTAACCTTTAGGATATGTGGAAGGCCTGCTTTGCTTGTCAGGTTATCACTTGACAGGCTGGCATCAATAAGGAAGAATCTCTTGTTACTAAGAATTACAGGACCCATGCATTGTTCTAGTACGTGTGGCTGGTTTTAGATCAGGGTAGAACCATTCCTGGGCCCCTGTGGCTCAGCCACACAGTTACCAGCATTTTAGTTCAGGCACTCCTACAATATGCATTTACTTGTTTTTCTTCGTAGTAATCTTCCTCCAGGGTCACAACCCAAGTCTGCCCTACATGTTTGTGAAACTGGGGAGGAGGTTCTAGGAAGCTACTTACGTGCTCGGTGCCCAGGGACATTCAGGTCGGTGATATGCTCTGACTAGCCTGCTTGGGGGATGGGGTCCCTGATTGCTAATTATGAAATTTCTATAGTGAATTTTGGATAATTCTTTCTCCTTTTTCCTTGGCAGCACCTCATATTTGCTTCAGGGCCCATGTAAAGTGTTACCCCCATACCCCCAATTTTTCTCTGCTCTTCTAAACAAGCAAGGTTTCCTCCTGGACAAGCTTCCTAGGTGCTCAACAGGTAAGATCCTTTCTCATACCCCTGTATGTGAGGAAGGGGTTAACTTTTTAAAAAAAAAAAAAAGCTTGAACTTAAGGTGCCAGCTTTTGAATACCTCCCTCTAAAGCTAGCCCTTTTCTAGCTGTTGGAGTAGGGCCAGTGCATGCCAATGGCACTGTCCTACAAGCGCTCTCAAGACCCCTTTCCCTGGTAGAACACTTATTTTAAAAGTAGAATGGGAAGGGAACATGGTGACATACTCTGAATGTGAGATGTTTCAGGGGAGATGTTTTTTCCACAGCAGTCGAAAGCATCCCTGTCCTAACAGCACTGCAGTCATCACCTGCTCTGTACAGTGCTCTCAACAGTTTATATAAGGAGCTGCATCGAGTGGATGTACAGCGCTGGGCTAGCTTCTTCTCTGCAGGCGTTGAACTTTATGATTTTCAGGAGGCCCTACATGAGCTAAGAACGCTGTCCCAATGCTATAAAACAAGCTCGGAGTTTGATGAATCTGAAGAGGAAGCAGACTCAGATTAACTCTACTGCTTATCACTTTAGGAAGAAGATAAACTTTGATTTTTTTTTTTTAAATGTTGAACTAGGGCACTGGCTTTTTAAAGAATAAAATGTTACTGCAAATTAAGTGACAGTTGTGCTGCATCTGTTACATAGAGAGGGTGGCTTTAGACCTCTGTAATTCAAGTACGAGACTTACCAGTTTACATCAGCATTGTCCATTATTTATCACAACAGAATTATGCTTTAGAATGAGACTGAACAATAAACATGGATCATTTCAGCTTATAGCCTTTCCAGATATAAAAAGGGGACAGTAATGAAATTTACAAAATTTGAATGTGGGAAAGCATTTACTTCATCTAACAGGACACATCTTATGATACAGTAATTACAAGTTTTTTATTGCTGTATCTGCAATAAATCATGAGGATGTTCAATTTAAATCTTTGTTACACAGAGAGGCAAGGCCTTGCCCCAGTGGAATCTTTTTAAGTTTTAGTCATGCAGATCACATTTGCGGAATGAAAAGCTGCCAGGGTAACATTATCCTATTAATTGTGTATCAAACATTAGACCTGTGCTCCTGTAGAATGAATTTAGTTGGTTATACATGTAGCAAGATTATCCAAAAAATTAAGGTGCCATTTTAAGTTACAGTCCTGTGCAAATATTCCTGCCTCCACCAGAGCTTCCCTCTAGCAGCAAACGGGCTAGTACCTACATTTGTGATGTACTAGTTAGTCCACCAGCACAAAGGTGTTTAGTCATCCTGTTCTTCTTCAGAGAGGAGCAGATCCTTATCTGACAGCTGGTCAGTATTGCTGGTGCTTGTTGCGTCTTCCTCATCCTCAGAACTTCCATCATAGGATGTATGGAAGAGCCTCATCAATTCCCTGAAGCGGTGGGACACCTGATTATGGAGAGAGACTTGAGATTAAATGGCTCATGCACAGTGGGGCAGCTTGTAGGTCCCACCCATACATAGCACTAAGATTGGAAATTACTGTGAAAGCAGAAGCATTTAACACACTCCAATCCCATCACAGGAGAAAGAAAAGTAGTACCCAGGAACCATTTTAAAAATACTGGACACAAAAGCAGTTAAGTTACAGAGTTGAGCTAATTATCTAGTGCAGGGGTCAGCAACCTTTTAGAAATGGTATGCCAAGTCTTCATTTATTCACTTTAAGGTTTTGCATGCCAATAATACATTTTAACGTTTTTTAGAAGGTCTCTCTCTATAAATCTATATATTATATAACTAAACTGTTGTCATATGTAAACAAGGTTTTCAAAATGTTTAACAAGCTTCATGTAAAATTAAATTAAAATGCTGATCTTACGCTACCGGCCTGGGGTTCCATTCACCTAGGCCAGCACCGGGCTGAGCGGGGCCTGTGGCCAGCACCCCAGCAGCCAGAACCCCAGACCAGCAGTGGGCTGAGCAGGGCCGGTGGCCGGGACCCCAGACAAGCAGTGGGCTGAGCAGCTCAGCCTACTGCCAGTCTGGGGTTCCGTCCAGTCAGGGTCCCGGCCCTGTCCACATAAAGTAGGTACCTACCTTCTCCCTGGTTCTAGCCATTCTCTTCCTATCTCTGCACTGAGAACAGGCCTGGGAGTGAAGGGTCTGGCTTAGAGCTAGAATGAAGGAGGGGGCTCAGGGTTGGGGCAGGAAGTTTGGGTGTGGAGCGCTTACCTAGGCAGCTCCCATTTGGTGCGAGGGGTGCAGGTGGGAATGTGTGTGGGGTGTGGGTGTGCAGGAGCTCCCATTTGGTGCGAGGGGTGGGGGTGGGGATGTGGGGGGTGTAAGAGTCAGGGCAGGGGGCTGGGGATGTGGGGGGTTGTGCCAGAGTCAGGGCTGGGGTTGTGGGGGGGTTCAGGGGTCAGGGCAGAGGGCTGGGGTCATGCGGGTGCTCCCAGCCCCCTGCACGGCAGGAGGCTGGAGGGAATATGCCGATTCCACCCCCTTTCTCCAAGGTCCCTGGAGCAGAGAGCATGCTTCAGCTCCACTTTCCCCTCTCCCCTCTGTAGCAAGGGCCATCAGCTAATCGGCCACAGGGAGGGAGAGGAGAAGGGGCAGGAACCCAGCACACTGGGGGAAGCTTGCCTGTCCTGCAAGGAGAGAGCGGTGGGCAGAGAAGAGCAGGCCGGGCAGGGCAGGATTTTTAATGGCACACTGCTGTCTGCCGGGTTAGGCGGACAGCAGTGTGCCATTAAAAATTGGCATGCATGCCATAGGTTGCCGACCCCTGATCTAGTGTTAATAGCAAACAGTGTGAAACATCACAGAGCTTCCTCAAGGCAAAGCCTTTACAAAATCAACCTACAGGGGATTTAGGCACATTAGACATTCAAGAGTTTAGGCTAGTACATGATGGTGGGAAATACCACTGGGGGTCACGATATCGCTGAACAGCTCATAACTCTGCTAATGCACCATCCTAAATTCCAAAACCTTGTGCAATCACAGTCCCAGCACTCTTCTGCACAGACTGATAAGCTATGCAGGTGGACTTTTTTTTTCCATTTTGTGGCACAAGGTATGCTTGGCACCCAGGCTAATGCAGTAACCATCTCTCAGTCCCTTAAGCCAGTGGTTTTCAAACTTTTTTTCTGGCTCCCCAGCTGAACAAAATTGTTGATGTCTGCAACCCAACAGAGCTGGGTTGAGGGGTTTGCGGTATGGGAGGGGGTCGGGGCTCTGGGGTGGGACCAGGGATGAGGGGTCTGGGGCAAGGGCTTACCTCCAGCAGCTCCCAGTCAGTGGCACAGCTGGAGTGCAGAGGCAGGTTTCACACCTGTCCTGGAACTGCGGACCGCGCTGCACCCCAGAAGCGGCCACCAACAGATCCCGCTCCTAGGTGGAGGCACGCAAATACCTCTCGCCCGCAGGCACTGCCTCCCACCCCTCAGCTTCCCAGCCAATGGGAGTGCAGAGCCAATGCTGGGGGCAAGGCCAGTGCACAGAGCCTCGTGGCCACCCTGCCTAGGAGTCGGACCTGCTGCTGGCCGCTTCTGGGGCACCGCACGGTGTTGGAACAGGTAGGGACAAGCATGTCTTAGCCAGACAGTACCGCTGACAGGACTTTTAACAGCCTGGTCAGCGCTGCTGGCCTGGGTCGCAACCCACAGTTTGAAAGCCACTACCCTAAGCAGTGGTGCTCAAAATTTTGTATTAGTGACCCCTTTCACACATCAAGCCTCTGAGTGTGACTATTTTATATTTAATACTATTATAAATACTGGAGGCAAAGTGGGTTTTGGGGGTGGAGCGGACAGCTCAAACCCCTACCCCACATAACCTCGTGACACCCCCCCACCCCCCAGTTTGCAAACCCCTTCTTAACAGCTTTCAAAATGATCTGCACCCCTCTCACACACAAGCACTTACCTCACTAGCAGTTTTATTGCCCAGTTCCTGTGAGATAGCACTGAAGGTTTCCAAGTGGGCTCCTCGCTCCTGGCAGGTGGTAAGAATGACACGATCGGCCTCCCTGTAAGCAATACATCACAGTTATGGACACAGCTTGGAGCAGGAGACTGACCCTACAGCCACCTCAAGAATGAAAAAAACCCACCAGTGCACTTCGGCCTGAGTCAGGGTGGGATGCACAAAGGGACTTAGGTTGTTACAATGCTGAGCATCACGGTGTCTAACTTTTAGGTGCCTAGAAAAAAAAGTCACAGGAACAACTCTGCAATCCCCAAAGCCCAAGTTAGCCACCTATGGTGGGCCTTAGACTGCACCTCACAAAGCCAGCACAATAGGCCAAGAGTCACCTAATCTAGCCACTGGGAAATACGAACCAGACCTCTTTCAGAGATAGGTACCCAAGTCTGGGCTGCACAGAAGGCATCTAGCTCTGCTAGTGAGTCATACAATGGAGAAAGATTGGTGCTTGGCTGCTTAAATTGCGTACAGGATTTGAAACAAAAGAGCCAGTGTGTGGGGGGGAGGATGGGGGAGGAGAGGGGCAAGACTACCCTTGCAATCTTTAGCCTAGTGCATAAGGTACTCATCCAAAATGTAGGAGACGCCCCCTCTCCCCCTTCTGAGGGAGAAGGGATTTGAGCAAGGATCTCCACCTCCCACAATTGTGCTAGCCTTGGCCATGGAGTCACTCTTACATTCTCTAGCTTAGTTTAAGTATTCCATTGTTTAATTAGCATAGAACTTCAATAGGAGAGACCGAGGGAGTGCCACATCAGCATAGTCCATACCCTAGTTGTTAGGGTACTATTCCTTCTCTCCCTTAGGAGGGCAGGAGCCTTGAAATAAGGATCAATAACATTGTGGTCGAGTATCCTAGCCCCTAGGCTAAAGATTACAAGGGAGATCCTCCCCGCAGGGCTATACTGCATGAACTCACCAGAAAGGGTGGATCTGGTAGGCATGCTCAGAGGTGACCTACCAGATTGGGTCCCCTGCCTACAACTTGGGCAGCCACACACCTATCTTTCCTTGTTTATGAATCTCGGTGAGGCTTAGGTGGGACACAGGTGTGTCCAGATGCCTATCATAGGGCAGTAGTGTATATGCATATGCAGGAGACAGCTGTCTAGAGTGAGGCTGTAGCACACATGGCCCAAGAAAAAAAAAAAAGTTGGGCACTGAGTAAATTTAGGTGCAAGAGTTAGGCAACAGCCAAGCAGGAGTTTCGTGAATATAAGGTGTGCCTAAAACTAGGACTTCGGCATCTTCATGGCTCTCACCCTAAGTCTCTCTCTCTCTCTCTCTAGTGGCCAGCTTCACACAATGTGCTTAGCCTTTCTAGGGCAGGGGCATAGGCAGCGGGTCGCATAGGCAGGGGGAGGCGCTGCCTCCCCAAACAGCCAGGCACGACCCCACCGCCTGCCGTGATGCTCCCTGCATGCAGCTGTGGCTCCAGTAGTCCCCCAGGCTCTGAGTCCATCCCCCCAATAAGCCGGGGCTGGGGGCTAGCCTCCCTCAGCCAGAGGTTCACACGTTGCCCATGTGCAGGGGGGCTCCTAGAGAAAACCCACTTCTTTCCCAGCCCAAAGTATTGGACTTATTATTAGAACCTGCCTGAAACAAGGCAGTATGTTTAACAGCTGGGATGAAAAGTGTTATGCTGCTGTTCTGGGCTGCTCTAGTAAGAAACT